GAGTTTTTTTTTTTTTTTTGTTATTTTTTAGTTTTTCAGTTTGTTTTTTTTTTTAGTTATTCAGCTAGAAAGAGAACAGGTTAAAATCGTTTTGTGCCAGACAGCTGAACAATAGTGAGAGAAAAAAAATCATTCAGACCTTTAGTAATGGTACCAACATTTATATTCTGGCTTCCACCTTCAAAGTTCATTCTAGAATCATGAACAGAACGGTAAACAAGTTTGAAAAAGAGGGAACAACAGAGAGAAAAACTGGATCAGGAGATTACAACAAGAAGAAGGATCATCATTTCAACTTAGCGCTAAAGAGATCAATTAGAAAAACTCCAACTCAGTCCCTATGACGTTTGGCACGTGAAAGAGAAGTTTCAGATATGACAGTCCAAAAAGCAGTGAAAAAAGAAATAAAATCGTATGTAAAACCTGTGAGGCACCTTGTTAGTCGAGGACAGAAAGTTAGAAGGTTAGAAAGGTCGGCTATCATCTTGACTAAGTTGGAAAATGATCCTGGAATAATAATAATAATAATAATAATAATAATAATATATATATATATATATATATATATATATATATTACAATGAATCATTCATACAAAAAGTAGATTAGTAATGTTAATGATATAAAATGTCGAAGTCTCTTCGCAAACAAAATTTTAAAGTTGCATTAACCTACGAACTCTATTTCCATACTCCATGAGCTTCCGATCCTTAGCTATGATTAATTAATGATGAACATGTGATTCTCGTTTATGATCGATTTCATCACGATTCTTCTGTTAAGCTATACATTCTTATTGCTCAAAGTAGAGTCCAATAATGTTATAAAAAAACCTCGTAGAATTCCAGTAAAATATCTTTAATCAACGTTTCAAAATTAATCTAACACTTGGACAATTATGCTGTTTCGATTTGGGCAATTCTGCTATGTTAAAACCAATATATATATATATATATATATATATATATATATATATATACTAAAAGATAAGTTTATTTTATGTCCTGTAGAATCATATGAATGTCAATCATGAATCGAGAAGAGACATGATCGCCTAAGCGTGCCTCAGGCATGGCACCTAAGGAAGGATATTAATATGTAGTAATTTTAGGGGGATCAATTATAGTACTAAATAACAATAGGAAACCGTTCCCTCACTTTATGTCCAGTAGAATCATGTGAATTTTTATTTTGAATCGGGAAGAAACATGATCGCCTCAGCGTGCATCACGAATGGCACATAACTTACTGGATTTTAGGGGGATCAGTTTAGTGCTAAATGACAACAGAAACCGATCCCCCACTTTATGTCCAGTAGAATCATATGAATGTCAATCATGAATCAGGAAGAAACATGATCGCCTCCGCGTGCCTTGGGTATGGCACCTAAGGAAGGATTTTAATATGTAGTTATTTTAGGGGGATCAGTTTAGTAGTAAATGACAACAGGAAACCGATCCCTCACTTTACGTCCAGTAGAATCATAAATGTCTATCCTGAATCGTGAAGAGACATGATCGCCTAAGCGTGTATAACGCATGGCACCTGACTGACTGGATTTTAGGGGGATCAGTTTAGTGCTGAATGACAACAGGAAATCGAACCCCCACTTTATGTCCAGTAGAATCATATGAATGTCAATCATGAATCGGGACTTCGATGTGACCTTGCTGCGAATCTAGTAGTACGCTTAAATTCATAAAGTATATGTACTAAGGTGGCTTTATTCACCCCCCCCCCAAACGCGATGTGGCGGTGATAATGGGTTGAACTGATTCACTTTGCTGGAACTTGTTTTTTGATTGTGTCAGATAACTTCTAGCAGGTGATAATAAATCTGTTTATGGATTAAGAATATTATCATTTCATTGTAGGAAAATTAGATTGCATAAAAAATGAAAAGAGATTAACGGAAATGGTTGGTGGAAATTAAGGAGAGCTGAGTGGATACACCGCGATACAATAGAGATAGAAAGAGATTGACATATAAGGAGAGAGAGAGAGAGAGAGCGTGGAATAAGAAAGGAAGGATAAAAGAAGGAAACTAAGAGAAAAGGGAAGAGAGAAAAAAAAAACGGAAAGCGAGAAGGGGAGGGCGAGACGTGAAAGAGAAAAAGAGAAAAGTCGAGAAGAGGAGAAAAGAGCGAGTGAGAAAATCGAAGAGAGTGAGATGAGTCAAAGAGAAGAAAAGTGAGTGAGTGAGTGAGTGAGTGAGTGAGTGAGTGAGTGAGAGTGAAAAGGTCACACTAGAGAAAAGCACAGATACGAAGAGAGATGAGGAAGAAAGAATGGGAGGGTGAGTGAAAAAGACAAGAGAGTAGAAGAAACATAGGGAAGGAGGAAGGGAAAGAGAGATAGCAAGGGGAGTGAGAGGTAAGAGAAGTGAGAGGGAAGTGAAGGGTAGGGGATATGGAAGAAGGTCAACGGATAGAGAAGAAAAGAAAGGAGGTGAGTGAGAGAGAGAGAGAGTCATTGGATGAAAGAGAAAAAGAAAGTGCATGTGTGGGTTGCAGGAGGGGGAGTGGATTCTTGGGTTTCAATTCACTACTTACCCGTTGGGTGTGGGAACCTATTGAAACAAATTTTGGGTTAAAAGAAATTGCAAAAGTAAAAGCATAACCGTTCTTCTCTATCCCCGCAATGACCAAGTGCAGAAAATGGCTGACACTTAGTAGAAGAGCGGTAAAAAAAAAATAAATAAATAAAACAAAACAAAAAAAACAAAACAAAAACAACAAAAATCAAAAAAACAAATAAAAAAAGTACAGATGGAAACTTAGCCATGGAGACAGGATTGAAATGCAATTGGCGCTAAAATTACAAACCGCCTTGATTACATCATCATTTCAACGGAATTTACATTGTCACTAGAGATGTCATCATTATTGCGAATGAAAGAACTTATGATGTAATTGATTACTAAAAACGTTTTATACTACAGGCTATCTATCTATCTATCTATCTATCTATCTATCTATCTATCTATCTATCTATCTATCTCATTCACTTGATATCTATCTTATCTATCTTATCTATCTCTTGATGTATGTATATATATATATATATATATATAGAGAGAGAGAGAGAGAGAGATACTCTGATAATAACTTCATCAATCTGTTCATATCTATCTCTCTTAATCATATCTATCTATCTATCTATCTATCTATCTATCTATCTATCTATCTCATTCACTTGATATCTATCTTATCTATCTTATCTATCTCTTGATGTATGTATATATATGTATATATATATATATATATAGAGAGAGAGAGAGAGATACTCTGATAATAGCTTCATCAATCTGTTCATATCTATCTCTCTTAATCATATCTATCTATCTATCTATCTATCTATCTATCTATCTATCTATCTATCTCAGTCACTTGATATCTATCTTATCTATCTTATCTATCTCTTGATGTATGTATATATATGTATATATATATATATATATATAGAGAGAGAGAGATACTCTGATAATAACTTCATCAATCTGTTCATATCTATCTCTCTTAATCATATCTATCTATCTATCTATCTATCTATCTATCTATCTCATTCACTTGATATCTATCTTATCTATCTCTTGATATATATATATATATATATATATATATAAAAAAGAAGAGGGTGCCGCAAACGTTTTTTGGTTGTAATGTGGATTTATTGAGAAAAAATATTATACTTTGTTTTTACATAATTTCACGACACGTGTTTCTGGTCTGGTCTCGCAACCGTCTTCAGGTGAAAGTGAGATTTTTACATATTATTAAAAATAATTAATTTTTCTTCATGTTCAATGTGGAATATTCTCGATATGAGACATTCTGTTTGTGTGTTACAATCCGAATTTTCTTTCTAGAATTGTCCCTCTTCTTTTAATATACATACTTTTCTCGTTGGAACCACTACAACATATTTCCTTTATATATATATATATATATATATATATATATATATATATATATATATAAGATTGGTGTATACGGAATAAATTCAATAACCAACAATTACTATTCTTAAAAGAGTGCTCAATACAGAGTAGAGCGAATATAATTATTTACTTAAAAATTATAACATTAATATGTTATAAAAACACTACAAAAATAGCCATTTTGTTTCAACACCTCCGGTGTCTTATCAAGTGATGGTTTTGAATGTAATCTACATTCAACATCATCACTTGATAATGCACCGGCGGTGTTGAAACAAAATGGCTATTTTGTAGTAGTATATTTATGTTATAATTTTTAAATAAATATATATATATATATATATATATATATATATATATATATATATATATATATATATATATATATCCTCCTTTCTCCTCTTTCCATCCGTTGATGGATATATCAGAACGACGCAAATATTTGGGAAATAGGAATACGTTCGTATAGATATATCATGAACAGACTGAAATAGATAGATAGATCTATCTATCTATCTATCTATCTATATATATATATATATATATATATATATATATATATATATATATATATATAGAGAGAGAGAGAGAGAGAGATAGATAGATAGATAGATAGATATTCTCTGATATTTTTCTCAATCTTATCATATCTATCTATCTATCTATCTATCTATCTATATCAGCCTGTTCATTATCTATCTATCTATCTATCTATCTATCTATCTATCTATCTATTGCGTTGTGTTCTTTTCTCTTTGTATAACTCTCTCATTCTGGTAATGTCTCTTTATCTAACATAAGTTTTCATGCATGCAGGTTAAGTAGATTATAATTGATCTATGTTATTCAATCCACAAATATAGTATGCATATTTATGCATATCTATCTATCTATCTATCTATCTATCTGTGTGTGTGTGTGTGTGTGTGTGTGTGTGTGTGTGTGCTCGCGCACTATATTTGTCTATTGTAATTATCTCAGCATCAATAAAACGAAGGAAGTGAGCTTGAATAATAATAAAACAAAATGTGAGAAAACAAGGAAAGTGCGGGAGATGAATGCAGACAAAAGGAGAGAGTCGGGGGGGGTTGGTTATAGCCAAGATTTTACTTTACGAAAGAGAGGAAGGAAATGGCTTCGATAAACAGAGTGAATCTTAAATTTGAGTAATAAGGAGAAACCCGCGAAGAAGAAAGGAGAATTTAGAGAATGAGTGTGAGAGGGAAGGAATCTGAAGGAGAAACAAATAAGGAAAGAAAGAAAGAAATTATCAATATTTAGGAGGGGGGAGGCGGCGAAAGATGGATAGCAATAAATAATGAAAGGCTGGCAAAAGGAAATGACGTAAAAATAATGTATAATGGGGAAGAGTGTGAGTTGGTCGACTGTAAAAGAGAGTGAGTGCGGGAATTGATGGGCTACGAAAGGAGGAGGGAGGGGGAGGCAAAGGCGAATCGCAAGAGTACAGCTGCCCTGTGTTCTATTGAGCCTGTCGACCATTAAAGACCCAGGAGCGGCGAACATCAAAAGTCGGAAAAGTCACCATGGAATCACGTTGGTATTAAATGGATGATTCCGTTCGCTTCAAGATTTTTCATTGGCCCAGCACGCGTACAGACATGCGCAGACGATCGACCATTTTTCTTTTTTCTTTTTTTTTTCTTTCATTTTTCTTTTCTTTTTTTCTTTTTTTTTTTTTTTTGTCCGCTGAAACAGACACACGCTTATACGTCCACATATCAAAGGCACCGGTATGCAGAGGCGTAGAGAGTTAATACTTAAAGATGCATATTCGAGATTCAGATGCTGAAGCACACATGCATACACACGAGCTTGCATCTTGCAGAAACGTGCAATCTGTTCACAGGCAAACAGAAACACTAACACAGACACATGACTTTAAGTCCTAAGAAGAGAAAAACAAACAAACAAACAAACAAAAAAATACACACGTATACACATGAGAATGTTTGAATATTTTTAATAGATCATGCCGCTATAGTTCACATAAAATTGACCGGACGCACAAGAATATTTAAAAAAGTAACGACACACACATACATACGCGTGCACCGACATTAGAGGGCGCATAGTTACGCCTAACTTAAATCAAGTACGCGGACGAAATTCCTGCAAACGCACAAATTAGCACAGGCGTATTACAAATAAAAATACAAACGTGTGGATGCATGTACATACTCCAGTTCACGCACGCACACATACACACTCTCTCTTCTCTCTCTCTCTCTCTCTCTCTCTCACACACACACACACACACACACACATATATATATATATATATATGTGTGTGTGTGTGTGTGTGTGTGTGTGTGTGTGTGTGTGTATTTCGTATAGAGAAAAACGTTAAAATTCCCTACCTTCGTGCGCTGATGGCCTAGGAGTAAGATATCTGACTGATGTTAAATCAGTCGGGTTTCGATCCCGGCTTCAAACAATCTGACGTCTGACAACACTGAGGAGCTGTGATACAGCGAAGCAGTCTGTCTGGAAGACTATATATATATGTATGTGTGTGTATGTATATTTAGGACACATTGAATAATATAGATATATTATATCTATTTTATAATAATGCTTTCTAGTTCCCTAATTTGCTTGTTGATGTTAAGTTGAAATTCATCAAAGAAGGCGCTGGAGATTTTGTTAACCTAAGTACTTTCGATCTCCTCCTCAGGAATGAAGTGCGATGACAAACTTACTGTAACTGTGATAAAATCTGCATTTCGCTGTGATGGTGTTTTTTAAGAAACACGCATGAACACGCTCTGTGATAATTATTTTATAATTAACCGTTGTAGCTCTGGTATGGTGGGTTTCTTTTTAGTAAACAAGCGTCTATAATATAAGGGTGCTAACCAGAGTTGGTAAAAATGCAAATGACATAAAAATGTTGGTCAAATACATTTTAAATCATTGCTACGATGCCCGTAATATTTTTTTCAGTATTGTTTGGTTGCTTTTGATATAAAGAATATATATATATATATATATATATATATATATGAAGAAATATAGTTTTAAGGTGTGCTATATTTAAAGAATAAAGTGCTCAATATCAAAGATAGAGCGTATATATATATATATATATATATATATATATATATATATATATTGCTAAGATGCTCGTAATAATTTTTTTCAGTATTGTTTGGTTGCTTTTGATATAGAGAACAAATATATATATATATATATATATATATATATATATATATATATGAAGAAATATAGTTTAATGCGTGCTATATTTATGGGTTAAAGTGCTCAATATCAGAAATAGAGTGTATGTAAATGAATATATATATATATATATATATATATATATATATGTATGTATGTATGTATGTATGTATAAAATCCTCGTCAGTCTGTCAGTCTCAGACTTTCCGAAACAGTCAATCCAGGGCTGTGAGGGACTGGCATATGATTGCGCTGGTGTGAAATAGATTATACCCACATGAGGTAATTTTGAATTTTTTTGCTGTATAAAATATATAAATATATGCTCTGTCATAATAAATACATTGGGCACTCTCTGTGGA